TTATCTTCCCATCTCCTCACCTCTGTTTGCCCCTTTTGGACCATATGTGCCAGGCTTGTGTGCAGAAAGCTGCCTCTCTGCTCCAGATGGCCTAGACCTGTAACTGTCTTTTCCTTTGTTACACAAAAACCATGTGCACTTCTTTATGAGAGGTCATCTATTGCTATATAAAATCATTTATGCTCTGGCGAGTGTGTGTAAAAGACCTAGCTACACTGATGTCTTTCTCAGACTTACGGAATCATGGAAAAGGAAAAAACTGTGAACAACCTCACTTGGGACATTGTAGACAGGCTGTTTGTGTTGTGGTTTTTTTCTTGCCATGAGTAGTAGGAAGGCTACAGTCACTTCTTGGGGTAGCTCAGTTGAGGTGATACTGGTGGTGACAGCTTGAGGTAGAAGGTGTAGGATTGCAGGTCAGGATAAATGGCTACAATTGGCAGTGATTTGGAGGACTTCAAGGATGCTCTCTGTATGTCCAGATGCTGGGTGGTTGAGATTCAAGTCCATTCAGCTTGTGGGATGCTTACTGGAGTCGGCAGCAAATGGCTGGTGAGGAGAGCAAGCCAAGGGGTGGGCATGTGGCAAGTCTGCCTGAATAATTGCCTCAGCCTCACAACTTGAGGTTCATAGACTTCCTGAGCCAGGTTTGCCATCTTTGTGTTTAATAAAGTTCTGTGGGTGCTATTTTGACTATTTTTGTGTGTGTGAAGATGCAAACTCCTTTTAAAATCCTAAACACAGGAATGAATTATATCCTGCCTGGAAATATTTTTAATTTTCTCTGAACTTTTCCTCTTGTGCAGGGGTTCACAGGGATCACAGCCATATGATTAGCCAAGGCTGTTCCTGCTTCATGTTGGTCTAATTATCTGCTCATTAGAATCTTGAGTCTTGAGCTGGGGTTGTGTAGGGTGTCTTTGTTTAAAGTGCAGTCTCCTAATGCAAATATTAAGAGAGCTTTCTGGCTTGCCTGAGTCAGACTGACAAGCTAATAATAGCCTTCATGTTAGTCTTGGCTAACAGAGAGCATCAGTATAAAAAGGTTTTACTGGGCTGGTATATCAATCAAATCATGGAACATAATATGCATTTGTGTATTTTGCTTGTTTTAACACTTAAGCTTCCATTAAGAAATATTAATGCAAAGGGCATGGGAGTAAAAATTTCTTCCTCTAAATATACCATTACATCCACTTGAGATTTCAAATCAATCTTAGATGGCCTCCAATTAATAGAATGCCATAATACAAACCTGTTTTCAATAGCTGTAGCCTTGTTCAAGAAACTATTCTTAAGTTTATAGGTAATGTGTCAGAGCAATGAGTCAGATGGCTTAAAAACTGGTGTATTGAATGTGTGTGGGAGTTGTGAGGATGGCTAATTGTTGGAGAGGGCATGTTTTATTTCCCAGCTTTGCCAGCAGAGGATTACATGTTATGCAATTGCTGCAATTTAATTGCAGAGGTTTTGATATCTGCCTTTAAATTATCCCAAGGGCATCTAGGAGGAATGGCTTACTTTGAATAAATCTTAATAAATGTATGACTTTATGCTGCTGGCTTGTTTTGTTCTGAGTGTCATTTGTTCCTGTTAACTATATCATAGAAGTCAATACAGCTATTCCTGGAAACATGGCAATATCACATGAGTAAGTATTTGTAGGATGGGCTCGGTATTGTCCTTGTAACAATTGTCAGCTTCTCTCTTTTATTTGTGGAAGAGCGATGCATATGAATGTACCTTTATCTGGAAAGTTCTAGGCAATTCTAATAAAAGGAGATATGCATGAATTATCAGTACATGATGTTCTATTCACTAGAGGGAGAGTCATTTTAAAAAGCCTGTTAAGTGAGGCATGGTTGCTAAGTAAGGCAGGGGTTTTATTAGACCAACTGACGTAATGGAAAAAAGCAGGCAAGATCTTGAGAGTACAAAGATCTCTTTTGGATGTGAAACAAATGGCAGGCTGCACTAAGAATGGTTTTGGAACAATGGCTCTGAACTTAAGCTAAATATGTTAAATGGTGATGAAATATGAGAGGAAGGGGTAGCTGAGACGTGGGAAGAATTGTTAGGTAATGGAGGTGACATGGGAACATGGAGCAAGTGTGGTTTCTGGAGGAATTTAAGGATATTTGGAACTACAGTGCTACTGCCTTCTGTCTTCATGGTGTTGGCAACTGCAGTTAGGACAAACTCAAGGAATGGCAAATACTGAGCAGGGCAAACTCAAGGAATGGCAAATAAGGAATAGTATAAAAATGGACTGAGTGGAGGAGGCAGAATATGAAGCAATGTGGGAGGGATGTCCACTGAAAGTGTTCTTTAGAATGATAGAGATGAATACTTCCTCTGAAGCCTGGGAGAAATAGGTGTTCAAGTTCAGGAAACAAGAATGCTGGTAGGGGGCTTTTTACAAAGTAATGTAGGGATAGGGTAAGGGGGAATGCCTTTAAGCTGAAAGATGATAGATTTAATTTAGGTATTGGGAAGAAGTTCTTCGCTGTGAGAGCAGTGAGGCACTGGAACAAGTTGCTCAGAGAAGCTGTGTTTGCCCCATCCCTGGCAGTGTTTAAGGCCAGGTTGGATGGGGCTTGAAGCAACCTGATCTAGTGGAAGGTGTCCCCACCCATGGCAGGGAATTGGAACTGTATGAGCTTTAAGGTCCCTTCCAACCCAAACCATTCCATGATTCTAAGAAATTAACTTTTGTCGGGATGTTTTCTAGTACCAATTTTTTGGTACTAGATGTTTTCTAGTTTTTGTGCTGGTGAGATAAGACAACCAGAGCATATAGTTGTGAGCCTTTTTTTTTAGAACTTATTTTAAGTAGGCTACCTGGAATTCCTTGTGGGGTGGTTGATTTTTTTTTTTTTTTTTTTTTAAATCTCTCCTTTTTTTTTTTTTTTCCTCTACTTAAGTGTCCTGCATAAGTGTCCTTGTTGGGTGAAGGTCCTTGTTATGTTGAGGTGGGTATCTTGGGTATTACCTTTAGCTGGGGAGAGCTGTACTACGTTTGGAGACCTGGCTGGGTTTCTCATTCTGTGTGTGTTTTGCATGACTGGCATCTGCAAGTACTGAGTGTCTTCTGCACAGTTCCGGGAATATCGCAGAGTGGACTTGATGTAGACAGGCAGGGTTTCCTTTGAGTAGCTCAGCAGTAAAAATGACCACGCTTGCCATATTTTCCTGTGCTGCACAGGCTTAATTTAAACTACCTGAAGACCTGCAGATGACTTACTTTTTTATTAGAAAGGCTAACTTGCATGGTGTTCAGGCATAATAAGGAGGTATAAAGTACTTTGGGCCTCTGAGATAAAAAAACACCATAAAGCTTGAAAGAGCTATTAAGAATATCCAGTGTAACTAATGGTAACCTTAACTGGCGGTTAGGTGTTGGGCCATAACTGTTCTTTCTTATTAATGCAAAAAAACCTCTCCTGTCTTCCAGCACAGGCTCACATTCATACCTCTGATGACTGACAGAGGAAACAAGTGTGTTACTCTTTGTTACTTTCTGGCCTGAAGAGGGGTCTCAAATGTAAAATTGAGGAAAGACTTGTCTGCTGGCCACTGTGGCACAACTATTCAATGTTGTTTACCATTTACCAGAGGGGGTATGCAAGGACCCTGGTTTTAGCCCCCCTGTGCTTAAATTTGCAAAGCCTTACCAACTAGAACAGGCTGTCTTGGGGAATTCATGATTTAATTATGTTAACAATCTGTAGGCTACAAAAAAAATCACTGACTTTCATTTCTGTTACAGAAGGCTCCTGCCTTAAAAGATAACAACAAACTGCACCATGTTCGGTAGCTTTAGGTAGACCTTGCAAGTTTTATGCAGTTATTATCTGGCATACTGCATTTCCTAAATTACAGCAAAGAAATTGTAATAATGCTGACAGAATTTTTGTAAAACCATCAACATGTAATTTTTTTATTTATTTTTTTTTTATTTTTCCCTCCATGCCTCCTGAAATCCTATGATTTTTCTAGCTAGGGCTAGGTAGCAGGATGAAGATTACATGCCATCCTACAAAGCAATACATTTATTTTGGTCTTCTTATTTTAGGAATAATCAGCAGAGAACAACACACTTCCTGTTACAAATTGCATATGCTTCCCTGAGGGGGCTGTTAGCACAGAGGGGCTCTTACAGAATATGAATTTGCTGTAACAAATAGTTTAGATTAGATAAATCTCATCTGCCCTTGAATCCAGTGTAAATCTTCCATTGACTTGTATGGAGCCTGAGTTTCATTGTATGTTTGAGTACTGTTTATAAGGCAGGCACTGCATTTTCATTGTGTATGTATGTTAGCTATTCGGTAGCTTTGGGCTGTGGAGGTCAATGCCTATAGCTGTCAAGTCTTTCATTCCCGCCCTCGCACGTCAACTGAAATAGAGGCTCGTGCATGTACGAGACAGTGGTGGGACTTGCAGTGATCTTAGTGTAGGAAGATCCTCTCAAGCTCCCTAGCCTCAGTCATCTGCTCCTCAGCTTGTGAGGCACCATCCTTTGTCAGGCAGTACCTCATCTGAAAGAGTTGCTGTAGATCAGTATTTTTGAGGGACAGCAAAGAGCATCTGCTGGGTTGTCAGTCAAATCGTGCTTCAACACTTGGGCTCATTTTCTGGGAAGAGCATACAGTTATGTTTTGCTAGCTGGGGCATTCATGTAAAAATTGCCAGCAGGATGTGTTTGTGCTCATGACTTGTAATGAAACCTTGGCTCCATTAAGACCTGTGGACCATTTGCCATTCTGAAGTCATTGGATCATGATTTGTCAGTTTTTTTGTTGATACTGGATTTTTAGCAAGGTGGCTGTTTGATCAGGTCAAGGTGAAAAAATTCATAGAACTAGTTTTTTTTTAAATAGCAATTTAAAAACCTGTTTCAAATTTTATGAAATTTAAGACACAACATGGTTTTATGTATTTCTCTAGACTTCTAAGTTTTGTGCTAGAAATAATGGAGTATCTTTCTTTCCCTCAAGGCCAAATGTCTGTCCAGCGTTTGAGTTGGCGTTGGTAGGACACTCACAGCCATGTGTCCAAGCCTTTAGTCGAATGGTGAAGATGTGGAAACAAGGTTGCGCAAGGAGAAGGTGGTGTACTGGCTATGAGAGAAGGTAGTCCATTATCTATAATTATAAATTGATTGTTACTGAGCTTAATGCAAATTCTTTATAACTTTTTTTGTGAGGGAAGTTTGTAAAATACATCATCAGAGATGTGTGATGTAGTTATGAATATAATTGGTGTCCTGCTGAGGTTTTACTTTGTTTGTTATTACTGAGTAGAAAATGCAGCTTTTTTTTGTTTGGTTTTGGGTGCGTCATGAGCTTCTTGGCTAGCTTTGGATCACAATTATATATCACTGGAAAATGTTCTGTCTTTTTCAGGTCAAGTCTAGTGGTCAAGTTATCTACTTTGAAAAAATGAACTTCTTTCTATTTCTGTCATGCTTAGAACTGATGCTAGATCTGACTCCCCCAACGACTAAACCCCAAATTGATTATAAACCAAAATTACTTACCTTTGATTAGCCTGAATAAAATTAATCAGAAAATATGTGGACGTGACATAATAGAGCATTGGATGTTATCAGGATGCGTTTTGCTCTTTGTTTCATTTTTAACAACTACTGTTAGGGGCTGAAAAAAGGTATAGTAAATATTACATGAGTACATTTTATTCCTGACGAGATGTAAATAACTGGAATAGAAGTTGAGTGTTCTCTCAAACTTACTCTCTTTAAAGGTCTGGGTACTACACAATTTACAAGCAGGTGTACAGATTGGAGCGTCAAACTGTCTATAAGTGCTGCCCTGGATGGGTCCAACATGAGAGTGAACCTGGCTGTTTGCACTGTAAGTTGATGGCAAAACCCTGACAAATCAAGAGAGGTGGCATGCTTAGGTCTTGCTTTCCTATGCTTAATTCTAGAAAGATGGGGTTTGTTTCTTGCTGTTTGTAACTGGGATTTCCAGTTAAAAGGAGGCAATCTATTGATGGGTAGGTAAGAACTTCATTTTAAAATACAGAAGCTGTCATAGGCAGAAGTACCAGGTATCTCTAAACAGTGGAAACTGAATTTTTTATTATATTTGTTGCAGCATTTTTGTGCCAGCCTGACTTTCACAGGCCAACCAAATTTATTGCTGTTACCCAAATTATGCAAAGAAATCTGCTGTAAGGCATTTGTTTCTTGGATGTAGCACTCACTGCAGAGTCTAACTGGTTTTGGCTTTTTCACTGCTGCTGTTGCCATTGAAGCAATTATGTTTCTACACTAGGGTCCTCCATCTGAGAACCTGTTCCTATCAGTAATTTTTAATCATGACTGGATGTTTTTCTGAAAGATGGAATTTAATTTAAATGATAAGGATGCAATTTAGCCACTGTTAACAATGAGTAGAAGATAGCAATCTACTTGGTGTTTAGTTTTGTTTCTGTTTTGTCAGTAATTGTATTTTCTGTTTGAAAGTTAACATCTGTTCCTCTGTCTTTTAATCTTCATACCAGCTCAAGGGATACACTCAGAAAGCTTGCTTTTATGTTTGTCTCTTTGTTTTTAAAAAAAGTCTAAGAGGTATTCCTGTTAGTTTCAGACTGAATCTACATATTTAGTGTGCACCTGTTTAGTTGTAAGAAGTCTGTAAGAGATGTTTACAATCTCTATTTTAATCTCTGGTGTAAAGGAGTTTTAAGTATTTGAACACCAATAGCAATATAAAATCCTTTTCTTCCTGAAAGAGCGGTGCAGGCTTGCTTTGAATTCTTTAAAGGCACAAAAGAGGTTGAATTAGTCTTTTATGTGTGATACTCTGCAAGTTTGGTCAAGTATGTTGAATTTAATTTATAGTAAATGAATAATATTCGGTGTTGGAGGAAAGTAAATATTTTCATTCCCTTGGATATATATAACATCTTTTAGTACACCAGTGTTTCTTAACCATTGCTGCATTACTCTCTGGCAGTTCATGTCTTCTTTAATACTAGATTCAGACATTGCTTTGAGTCCTAAGAAACTGCCTTTGGCCTCTGAAGCATACTCAGGTTAAACTGCATTATCTTGGTCTTATTTCTCACTTAAATTTTTTCATATCAATGTGGTAGCTCCAACCATGATGATAATTTCTACTGCAGCCTAACCTCTCCACTTAAATAAAAAGCTAGGTTTCTTCTTATTTGGAAGTTCCTGTTACAGGAGGACTATGACAGGAAGAGGGAATTCTGGAAGACCCTTGTCACAAAAAACAATAACACACCCATCCTCATTTCATTCTATTTGTGTGTCCTAGTGCTGTGCACTGTTGGCACTTGTTTCAATGGAGGGAAGTGTTTGGAAGCAGGATCCCAGGTTTGCCAGTGCCCTGCAGGATTTCAGGGTCCTCGCTGCCAGTATGGTGAGTCAAACTAAATGTCTCAAATGCATCTGGTGCTTGGGTAAAAAGCATGCTTAACGATATTTGTTACAGCATGAACATTTTATTAATGTAGACTTAAAGTTGCCTTTGCACTCTGACTTGTTATTTGGTCATTCTCTTATTTTCCAGAATTTGCCTTGTTTGGTATTGAATTTTAACAAAGCAAGAAGAAAATTTAACATGGTTGATATCAGATGAGTTTCTGTAGTGGATAATACCATTGAATATCAGCAGTGGTATCCAGTGGAATATCTTTCTATTGCTTCTGAACTTGGATGTTCTTGTGATGCTCTTGTTAAGTTTCTCTGCATTGCTTTTTACCTTTGTGAGAATAAATTCTGAGACAAAACAGCTTGGACAGCAGGTAAAAAAAATGCAGCAAATACACTGAATGTATTTTTTTTCATGGATTTTTTGGTGCATCTGTAAGTAAGAAGCCTGATTTTTGCAGATCACTAGCATATATTTCCTAGTATTCTTGAAATAACTCATGCACCCATCTTTCATTTCAGTAACTGTGTTCTAGCTTATTATAGACTAAATTCTATGAACTTATACTATCACCCACTCTTAGTGGGAATTTTTCTCTCATACGCTGGTTCATAATCTAATAAACCCACAATGGGTTGTCTTGTAATTTATGTGGAATAAGATGATCACATATTGTGTAAAACTCTCTAAAATTACAGAACTGCATCCATCTGGCTTCTTATGGGAGGAGGAAAAAGTCATTCCTTCAGAGTAGGCTGTGACTGGGACAAAGGACTTCTTTTGTATTAGGAAAATGATAATTTCCTCTTCAACTGAATCACATTGTGTTTCTTTCAAAGAAAGGTGGATTTTTGAATATTTAAGTCTTTCACTTTTAAATTCCCATATGTTCACATCTTCACCTGCCTCATCTGTCATGAAGTATAAGTTGGAAGGAATGTAACTGTTTACAATGATCCCTTTAAGAGCTAAAAAGCTAAGCTCTGTACTTGATATGTGGCTTCTATCATGCTTGTTTCATAACCTTTGTCATATTCTGATCTCTGGGCTCCACCAAGTCTTACATGATAATGTGGGCTCCCTGCACCAAAGCAGCTGCATCTGTATAGGTAGCAGCCTCCCTCAGTAAAGGTATAAAGCAGCTGGAGTTGCAGCAGGCATGGGAAGTGGGAAATGTAAAAAGTAAACAAATGTTGCAACAATTCTGTGGTTTATTTATTTATTCATGCCTGGTCATAGATGATATCTTTCACTATAAGGAAGCATTTAAATAAAATGCAGAGCTCTTTACAAGGAAACGTCTACTCACATCAGACCACAGTGTGCCAGTATCTCCTTTCAGACATGAGTTCAGTTAAGCACATTCTAAGGGAGATGATGTAATTGTGTTTTTCTTTACTGCCCATAGAAATAAGCTTACGTATGCCACTTGATATGAACCAGAGTGACACCAATGCAGGTTACTTTGTTATTGAATTACAGTAAAGTTGCTGGTTCAAGGTAAGTAGGATCAGGATCTCTAAGGAGCCCATATAATAAGCTTTTGCCAAATACAATGTAAGTCTCAGCAAATTCTAAACAGTCTTTGCTAGTTTGAGTCTCCTGTTTCTTGCTAATACCTACAGCACTAAGGCATTTCTAAGAGGCAGGTTATGTGGGTGTGACATGTGGATAACACAGGTCAGATTTTCAAACTGAAATGAGATTGTGTGGTGTCTATGTCACAGGTTGGTGACTGCAGATACTAAAACCAGGGTGAGGTATCCTGAAATTCTTGCTTTTTGCAGTTGGGTGAATTTTTATTTTCATGGTTTGTCTGCTTTCTATTGATTCCTGAGGTTTGAATGGAATTTTAGTAGTCATAATTTTTAGGTTTATACAGTTGCTGCTATTGCAGTCTGGTAGGGATGAATTTATAAATTAAATTCTGAAGGGAAAAACTTACTTTCATGAACAATTCACTTGCTTAACAAAAACAAGGTAACTTTAGAGTGTAAGGCCTCTTTAACTGTTGCAGGCATCTCCAGTTAGATGTTGGTGAGGTTTGTATTGTATTTGTTCTAAGCAGAACTAAAGGAAATGTACTGAGGAATCAGAAGCTATAGACTCTGTTTTTCTGTCTGATGTTGGAATATTGCTCTTGTAAATTGGCTTGAATTTAATGTGACTGCATTACTTAGCAGTAATATCTTGAGCTTATAGACAGTTTAGTCTGTTCCTTCCTCCCCACTTCTCTGTGCATCTTGACTGTAAATAAACTGTTTTCCTTCCAATACTTAACCCAAAGGAAAAGGAATCTTTCCTACCAGCATCTTTTGCTTTGAGGAACAGGTGGTGCTAGGAAAACCATGGTTTATAATCTTGGAACATGTGCTATAAAATATTAGTGGAAAAGATTATACTATAATGTATGAAGCTGTCAGAGGATGCTGTGGTACACACTTCTACCTCTCAGCTGCGTTCCTCAATGGAGTCTTTGGTAGGAGTGTTCAGGTAGTCCTTTTGGGGGCTTTACAGGGAAAGGGAGGCTCTAACTGGATATGGGACCACAGATGTCTAGCCGAAAGCTGCCCATCAGGCATTTCTTGGTTGTAATCTCGGTTTCCATCAATCTTGGTGTTGCAGCCTCCTGTTAGCCTCTTGGCAGAGGAGGAACCATGAGCATTTCCTAACTATACATACATTCATTTGAGCAAAATTGTTCTATCTATTCCATTTTATAGCTCCCCTCTCAAACTTCTTTGCTCATCTTCATTCTGTTTCTGTCATTCAGTAGTGACAGCTAATTCTGAAGCTTCACTTGTGAAGTGGCTCTCATTATCTCCCTGCTGGGCACTAGGATTCACAGACAATAGACAAGAAACTGTTATAAAAATATTATTAAAGTCAGTTATTCTAAAAGCTAAATGAGAGCATACGTTCCTAATCTATTTTTTTTTTTCCTCTTTGTCACCTTTATATTTGCCATAAAGTTAGTAGGTAGGCCAGCCTCCTGCAAATCAAGTTGCTACATGCTTTGTCCTGGTCTGTCCTGCAGAAAGTTTGATATGGATCATTGAGCATGACTTATAACAGCCCAGTGCATCATAGCAGTCTGCATCTGAGGTAATTATTCACAATTGGCATGATTGCATCTAACAACTTTATCATGTCGTGCTTTAGCAGCCTGCAGCACAATGTTATGAGTCCTGTAATGAACTTTAGGTAATTGTAACTAGAAATGTATTGCTGCATTGCTTCAACACTGTACTCCATAGTTTTATTATTTTACCCTCACAAGTAACAATAAAAACTTAGAAGAAAGATTTATGGATGAAATGGTTGAGCTCTTCATATAGCCATTACAAGGATCCAGTAACAGATTGAGCTGTCTCTTACATTGTCTGCTGCAATTTGTCTTGTGATAATAGACTTACATCAATTACAGTGTAAACTTGCAAGCTGTATTTCCTTCTGTTTCTTTACTTGCTTGAGAGTTGAGATTCCCATTTCTCTTGAGCCCATTGAAGGGGAGGAAATACATGTAACAGAGAAGAGAAATGGTAAAACCCACTGCCAAGAATCAAATCTGCTGCAATGCTGGTTGCATTGTTATTCATTAGTTGTGCTGGTAATCTTGTTCAAGGCCTGCTAGCCAGCTGAGCTGGACATCAAAGTGAATTAACTTCATTCAGCTTGTTTAATTTGGCCCTGAGACTTGTACTTGGATATTCAGCTAGTGAAAGCATGCCATGTTCTACAAACAAGAGTAGCTTTATTTACTCCTTGTATACATAAAGTTGTTCAATTTAAAATGAAGAGCTAGTTTTGATTCTTAAAATCAAGCCTCAAGTTATTACAGGTTTTACCAAGTGCCTCCTGCTGGTTTTAATAATTCGAGTAAAACCAAGAATGAGAACTGAAGAGGCTTTAGTATTTCATGTCTGAAACAAAATACCAGTGTTACAAAGGTTTCGTAAGAGGCTACTGTAATTAGGAAAGAGTAACTGCAGCTGAGCATCTCTGAGATGATGACTGTTATCAGAAGACAGATAAAAGTAGGTAAGGAATGACCAAGGCAGACTTGTCAGGGAAGTTATCTTACAATGACAGGATGTTTGTTATCTGAGTTTAATTATTTGAAGAAATCTGAACACATCATTCCAGTGTTTAAGAGATTATTAAGTGTCAGTATATTTCAGTTTTACAATGTGGTGTTGGCTGTAATGCTGTTGGAATTTTAAATTAATTCTCTTACAATGCCTGACTAATCTTAGATGACTAAAGATTGTGTGCTTGGGAAACTACATCCTGAGAGGCAGTGTAGTCTGCGGAATACAGTGCTCGCCCCATGTTTGAGATAAGGGCTTTGCTTTTGCTTGCCACTGACCTTGGGTATTAGTTCAGTAACTTTTAACACGTTATACTGCTATGCCTCTATTTTTTTGTATATGGAATGTTGATAATGATGGCTCATTCCTTTGTAAAGTGCTTTGAGACCTAAGTAATTAAACATAAGGTAATAGCATTAGAATGTGTATATAGAGGCAAAATGCACAGTGAATGGGTAGCTAAAATGAAATGCTTAAGAGATATTAATCAGCTCATTGACTGTCAATCTCTTCCTTACCTCTGGTCACATGCTATTAAGGTGTTGAGCTATATAAATAAAAACATCAGCACCTCCTAATCCAAGTAGATCAGAGTTTAAATGACAGAACTACCGAAAGGTTTGGTTGTATTTTGTTGTTTTTGTTTGTGGTTATTTTGGTTTTTTGATTTTTTTTTTTTTTTTTAACCACTGAGTCAAATGGCAGGCATTCGGCTGGATCTTCTCGCAACTCAAAATACTCATTCACTCTGAAAGAGTTTTCTTCAATTTTCCTCTAGGAAATATTTTTCCTGCAAAGTCATTTGATAGAACTTCTGATTATTGTTCTGACTGCCATTTTGATCTCGTCTAGAGATGCATATTTTCTTCTTTGAGATGGAGGCCTAGGTAAGTCTTA